AGAGAATGCCTTTCATTCCCCACCCTGACTTCCCTGAAGCATGTATTAGAGTTATTGTATGTAATAAATCTGGTTCATTTGGAGTGAATTATACTTACAATATTTTTCTCAGTACTATATAATACTTATTCTTAGGGTCTTGGTTCACGTCATCTACTCTGTTTTCATTTATTAGTCCTTTGGAGCCTGCAGTAAAGGAGGTTTCACTGAATACTTATATATTGGCCAGCCATTTTGGTGAAAAACGTATTTTGTAGCTCTTGCAATAAATCATATGATAGGCTTTGCTTTGGAAGAGCTAAATTACTTCTTGGCACAGTTTGCCTGAAATATGGAAAGCTAAGTGCAACTGTTAGTTTGATTACGGTGGGCAGCCTGTCTGGAAATTGGCGAAACTTACAGATTTTACATGTGCATATAAGTAGTTCCACTAAGACTTCATTAAACTCTGGTGGGAAAATTCTGTGGCATTTTGAAATAATTTAAATGATGCCATCAATGTTTGAAGAGAATTGTGAGATTTCACCAAACCTTATATATCAGTATGAATTCTGCACATTTCATAAGACCTTACTAAGGCAGTGTAAATTAGGCATAAATTGGAGTATCAGTATAAAAATGAGATTCTAAATGTTTCCCATTCCGTGAGTCTTATTTTAGGGACTTTGCCGTAATTCTGAGAGGCCTAATTTTGAAGTACATCTAAAAGTAGGAATTTTAAAAAGAAGGACTCTTGGGATAAATTTAGATTCTTCATTGTGAAGCTCTGTTACCTCTGTTAGAGGTTGTTGAGCAGGTCAGGTCACTTGTTCTGGGTGATAAATATTGTATCAGTGCAATTCCCTGGTAATTTATTTGAGCGCTACGTCGATATACAGAATAAACTATCTCACAGATCAAGCGCAGGGACTTCGTTATTTCTGGCCGTGGTAGGGGTAGGACAGTTATCTTCTCTCTCTTCTTCCTATTTGAAAAGTGTGGACAGTGATTACTTCTGTCTTTTCCTGGGATGTTTTAAGAAGAATAGGTGAATATGTGAGCAATTTGAGATACTTTAGGTTTTTCAGAAACATTAATAGCGTTTTTCTTAGACACCTGTTTAATGTCATAGGTATTGAGGGATAACGCGGCAGTTATTTTCAAGAGAAACACTTCCAAGTTATCTCTCAGTCATAAAGGTTTTTGGCCTGTCCCATCCTCCCCCTACTGAACATGGTGGAGGGGGCGACTTTTTCTCCTAGTTTTTTCCACGCCTTTTGCACAAAGTCCAGTCCTTCACCTTCTACTCTTCTCTCTGGATAATTTTTCTCTTGGCAGTTTCCTCTGTCCCTAGGCACCCCCTTGTGGCTGAAGACTTTTAAATCTCTGTCCCCCCACCTTGAAGGCAGTCTGTGGTGGGACCTTTTTTTCCCGTTTGATGGATGCAGCTTCCCCTGAATGTCTGGCCTCTCCTCAGAGCCTCTAACATGGAACTCAACCACCTTCCACTTAAATGCCATCCCTACTCCTGGCTGCCCTGTCTTTAAAATGTACACATTCTTCTTGTCAGTCACATTCCAGATTTTGAACTCATCTTCACCATCTCTTTTTACCTCCTGTTCAGTTAGAAAACACATTCTGTTCATTCTTCCTCTGCAGTGCTAGTCATATTTTTTGTTTCTTTTCAGCTGTCATCTGTGTTTCAAACCTTTATCGCTTATCATCCAGATTCTTAACCGGCTTGCCTGGCCCCAGTCTTTCTGGCTGCCCTTTCCTCTCCTGCCTCCTCACTCTTTCCTGTCAATTTAACCTTCCTAAACTGTTAGGCATTGCTTTGTTTGTGGCAGTTCTCCGTCGGAAACTCCTCTGGGGCAAGTTGCCCACCCCAGGTGGCCGAAGCTGCCTTGCTGATGGGCAGTCCTGAAAGCAGGCTCTTTCCCTGGCCTCCTGCCTGCATACGTTCACCAGCGGCTCTGCTTTTAAGTAATCCCTCTTCCGTCTTTCTCTGAAGACCCTCAGGGCCTGTGGAGTGGGTCAGGAGGGAGGCTGGGTGGATAATAACTCCTCCCTCACTACCTGGGGAACGAACGTTACACACAGGCCAAGTTTACTTTTAACCTGGAACTCAAACGCCCCTAGAACTGTCCCATCTAGCCTATCACTGCTCTGCACAGACCCTCACTTGAGTGGCACTGGCTGGCTTTCTATAGCCGATGGTACCAAGGGGTTGTCTTTCATCCTCTGTATCATACATGGGGGCGGGCATTCCTCTTTACCTTGAAACAAGAATCACAAATAATTTATTTTGAGGAAACATACTTCCCTTTAAACAATAAAAATTCATGTGTGTACAGAGCTTCTTAAACTGTAGAGCAGTACACAGACATTACTCTGCAAACAGTAGGTGTTGCTGTTATTTTAAAATGCTCTTGAGAACAGAAATAGTTACATATTTAGAGGATAGGCTCCAAACCTCAGTTTTATTTAAAGTAGAAGAGTCACTCCCTACCAGAATAATAATAAACTCTTGGGAGAAGACCTCTAGGATCTCGTGGTGATTGTGAGCCCGCCATCTTAGTGAAATCTAGTTTCAGTTGTCACTTTATGTGGTGTAACTTGTGATTTTGCCCTGTTATTCGCTTATGAATTTCAGAAGCCTCCTTGTCATTTATGTGTAGTTTGTGGAGGCTGAGTTTTCCTATGTATTTTATTGTGTAGGAAAAACCAAAAAAGCTCCGAGCAGCCACGTGTAAGGTGACTGTATTAATGCTCAGAAAGTGAGAAAGTGCATATTGAGAGCCGGGACGAGAGCCTCACGTTACTGACGCCTTCTTCCCTTTTAAAGGAGATTCAGAAGTATTTTGGGCGTTCTTGAAAATCTCTCAATTTTACATGTTTAATCACGTAAGTAACATCTGCATTGGCAGCTCCAGTGGAAGAACAATAACTCAAAGGGCTCAGTTGAGAACTCATTTTATTTTGGGAATTGTGAAGTGAACTGTCACGGGGCATCTTTTGCTTTTAGAAAATTTGTGTTTGATTTGGAAGCTTGGCATTTGAGTGTTAGGAAAGAATCGACTTAATTTTCCTTTTATAATAATTGGAAGTTTTTACACATCTAACATAGGGGAAATGTTAGAGAAGTATCATTTCATAGGAACTTCTTTGAGTTTAATGCTGTTTTGTAGAATATACAGTCAGCAGTTGGTTCAGCTGTCCTTTTCTGGGGAGAGATGGGAGTTGTAATAATGATCTTGAATCTGTGTACAGTTCTCATCAGACAGCGGGGACTCGCTGGAAAGATGGAGAAATGGAAAGCATTTGTAGAATTATTGTAGAAACCCTAAACAAACCCTGAAATTTTTGATGTAATAAATTAAACGTTCAGCATAATATAATGACACAGATGTACACATTTAGTCAAAAGAATAGGGAGAGCGTATAATAGTAGCCATCTATAACAGCAGCAGGTAAATGATGAATAATCAGCAATTGCTATACATTTATTGCTAAACTAGCTCTTTATTAGTGGATGCTTGGAGCAGTGTTTTTTGAAATTTTTCCTTTTAATTTTTTTTTTTCAAGTGGAGAGATATTCTAAGGGAAGAAAAGAACCCTAAAGTGCCGTAATCTAACTTTGTATTTGTAGTACTCTCCTAGTTTATCTGCTGGTCTCTTATTTAACATTCTACTGTGGTGTTGTTTAACTTAGATGTTTCAAACAAAAACTCTAATCAACCTCGTTGTCTCACCGGAGCTCTGTGGCTCTGAAGCCATTCAAAACAGCGGACCTTCTGGTTTTCCCCTCAGTTCTGCGGAAACTGTTGTCAATATCGAATTATCTCATCTGGAGTAAATTCTCTAATCTCTGCTTCCTTATTTAGGTTGGTGTCAGGACACTGCTCTATGAATTTGGGGAATCAGGCTCAGGGATATTTGCCTGTGGTATTCTGGGCCCATTGAGGAAACCAGTTTATTGAAATGGGAGAAATCACTGGTTTATTTGTGAGCATTCTGTTCTCTTTGTATCTCTTAATATACACTTTAGGTGGGGAAATTCCTCTGTGTCATATGGTTTGTTATACCATTGCCTTTTGCCTTGGGTGGAAATCATTCTAGAGGGTAAGAAACGTGAGCAGTTTAAAGCAGTAAGAGTTCGTATTCTCTGATTTACCAAAGAATTACCAAATCCTTGCTGTATTCTCAGTCTCTTTACACGCGCACACACACACACACCAACACACAGACTCCTTGTGCTGAGAATGATAAACGTACCAGTTGTGATGTTTTCCACTTTAGCGTATTTAATTTGGTGATATCGTCTGCTTTTTACAAGGAAGGTTGGGGGTATATATTCTTCAGTGTGAAACCGGATGTTCTGGATGATTATTCTTGTGAAATTTATATATTATTTCAGAAAAGGAAAATGAATGATTTTTCATTTAGCAAATTGCTAGGCAGATTCAATATTTATGAATTATGTGCTTTTGCTTAATCCAACGAATAGATGCTAAAAGTTTTCATATTGATAGCTAGAGTTTATAGATTGTAACTTGGTGATTCCGTTCTTCTGATAGGAATTATGAATGGTAGCTTTTTATAGTGAGTACATCAGCTGTGTTTGTTGATAAAAACTGCATTTGAGAAGTTGGCATAATTTAGATATTTTGATTATTTTTCTAGAAGTTTCTGGATTGCAAGAATCTTTTGGTTGAGAAAGCTGAGTGTTAAGCACTGTAAATCTCCTCCGCAAAAAGCTTAATCATCTCTGTGTTTACTACAATGCTATTCATTTACCATGAGAGATCTACTGTATGTAGTGATGAGTTTTAGAATAATTTTTTTTATGTAGGTCATAAACTTTCCAAGACTCCTTTTACAAAGTGATATTTTTAAAACTTTTTTTTTGGCATCTAGTCCATTTTCCAGTGTATTTATGATTTTAAACATTTTGATACAGTCATGCTAGTTCTCTTATTTCTGTTTCATTCACTCTTTGTCCATAAGCTGTGTGTTGCTTCCTGAATCTTAAAAGTTAGTTTCTTCTGAGTCTTGATGTTACAATGTGGGATTTTTTTGTAATCTAAGAGAATAATTATAATATTAGTGACCCCTAAGTGAATGTTGCAAATTTGATTATTTTCCAAATAGCCCAAAAGATCTAAACTGATTCAAAAGAATAATTGTAAAGTAATTATCAGTAACTTATAGGTGAATATGCGAATCAAATGATTATTTTCCTCATTCTTTCCCTTTCCTCCCAGACTTAAACTAATCTTAAAGAATCTGCTATTGCTTTTTCTTTAAAGGTTTTTCATATAATTTTGTAGGTTTCACAAGTCTACAAAGGACAGGTACGACAGATTGACGTGTTAGACGTATTGCATTAATGTTAGTTTGTTGTCTATCTTTTTTTTTTAATCTGCCTTATCTCAGAGGATGCGTGATAGAGGTATGGCTGGGGCTGCAGAGCTGGTCTGACCCTGGGACTGCATATTTCTATGGGGTTTCCTGCATATTTCTAGATTTTCTAGTCTCTGGCCTCCATGTCAGATGACAGCAGCTTAACAGTTGCTGAGGTTGTCTTGACTTTCTAAGGGACTGGCATTTGAATAAAGACCCTAATTATTTTATTGTTGCTGTATTCATACTGATCATGTATAATCAAATCATCTTTATGGTATTATTAAGCTAAATATTTGTAACGAAGATTTGCCCTAGAATTTGAAAGCAGTATCTTGAAAAGTTAAGTACATGTATATTATTAAAACCTTGGATCTGTAAAATCAAGGTTAAGCTCTTAGTTTTGTAGGAGTGTATGCTGTTAGTATAGTTGGTGATAGAAATTCACATGCTCTAAATCTGTATATCTGTCTAATATACTTTATCTGAAAAGCGTCAACAGGTAGAATAGAAGGGAAATGTAGACATACTAAAGAAGATTTGGTCAGGCATAGAAATCCAAAAAAGAAACTAAGACAGAATCCAGGGTCAGAGAAGTCCTGGGGATTTTAAGATTTTCATTATTTACCATTGGAAAACTGAAGACACTTAATTATTAAGCATTTTTTAAGGTTTGATGGAATTATTAAGTTTCGGTGATAGGTGTGGAAAGATTTCTCTTTGCTTCTACACTGATAGGATTGATACTTCAAGTTCTCACATTTGATAAAACTTAGACCTTGAGATGTCTGAGTTAGATAAGGGGGTGTATAAATCAATGCTGTTGAAGTCAACACTGAATGTGAAAGGTACGTAGGATTGCCAGGCACTTCCACAGGGGTTTTGCAATCCTGGAGGAATCTTAAGGAAGTTATTCCAATGACAATGTTTAGAATCTATAGTTGCTCTAAAATATATTATCATATTGTAGCTAGGACGTGATTACTACAGTTCAGAGGTTCTCCACTGGGAGGGTATCTGGGGATGTGTGTAGGTATTTTTGGTTGTCAGAATGCTTGGAGGGACTGCTGGCATTGATTACGCAGGGCAGTGCTGCGTGGCCTTAATGGAAGGGACAGTCCTGCACAAGAGTTCTCCAGCTCAAAATGCAGTGGTCCTCTGTTGAGAGAGACTGCTAAAATGTCAGTTCTTTTCTTGTAACGTCCCTTGTTTTTAGTATAGTTTAATAAATCTAATTTAAAATATCATTTGAGAAGTCAGTGTCAGATTTGCAATGTTTTTGATTATTGTAAAATATTTTAGATATATAATATGACAATGTTGTGAGGCAAGAGGGAGAAAGAAAAAAAATGAGGGTGTGGTTTTTAGCAATTAGGATTAGAAGTGATGGGAGGATCTAAGCATACAGGGTAATTGTGAACCCTTAAACAAAGGTGTTAAGATCCTCTAGTCTCTGGAAAGAAATGTTAGGTGCATTCCTATTTGGACCGAGAGGGAACAGACAGTGTAGAAAGTCAGAGAGAAGATTATTAATATCTGAATTATAGTGTAACTTTTTTACTAAGAAGAAGATTCATTGAGATAAATGGAAGACTAAGATGTTTCCAGTACTTTCATATTTTAGTTATTCAGTTTTAGATGTCACAGTATCTAAGTGGTTTGGTTTGTGCCTGTGAGCCAGCAACTACAAAATGGGAGGAAAAGGAAGGGAAGATGTTTTAAATAAAGAGGGAAAACAGATGACAAGCAGATGGAAAGAAGGAGGCAGCATCTCAGAAAATGGCAGCTCCATTCTTCCATGTCCTTAGGATAAAAACCCTGGTGTCATCCTTCACTTCCTCTCTTTGTTTCATACATAGTATCGAATCTGGCAGCAAATCCTGGGGACTCTATTTTAAAAATAGATCCAGGATCCAATGACTTCTCATATCTCCTCTGCTACCTGGGCCAAGGCACTATCATCTCTTGCCTATATTGGGGCATTAGCCTCCTAAGAGGTCACCCTACCTCCTTACGGTCTCTTTTTAATCTAAGCCTCCCAGTGGCTTTCCATCTCTGGTTGGAAAAGCTATAGCCATTCTGGTGAACAGCGCTTACCTTGCGAAGCCTGTCTTAGATCTGCCTCCCCTGTACCCCTCTCCACTCCGTACCATCACCTCCTGCACTAGGCCTCTCCTCTACTGTGTACAGTCTTACTCCCTTACGATGCTCCTTCCCCATCCCTTCCTGACTCTCAGCTCTTCTCCTTCCAGCTTTTAGCAGATGTCCCTTCTCAGTGAGGCCTTCTCTGACCATACTGATGGATTCACAGGCAGTGAAATAGAGACAGTTTAAAATCCCTGTCTCCCTGTCCTTCGTCTCCATGTGCCTCTCTGTTTTTCTCTAAAGCACTTTCATTGTCTGACTTTCTACACATTTTACTTGCTTATTTGTTTACTGTGGTCTCCGTCCTGAGAGGGCAGGGATCCGTGTGCTCACTGTTCAAAAGCAGAGCTTGGCACATAGTAGGTGCAAGGTGAGGCAAGAGTAAAAAGCTGGTGAAATATGGTTAAGAAACCTTAGCAGAAACCAAAATTCTGATACTGTGGCGGAGTTATCTTAACTTCCTTGAGTTTGTGTCGTTAGTTGAGAGACTAACCTTGTGAAAATTAACAGAGCTGATTTATTTGACGGTAGCACAGTGCCTGCTGGTCTTAGAAGAAGCTTCATAAATGATACAGATGATTCTTGTGAGAAGAAAGGACAAACCAAGGGAAATGATAAAGCATCTTTCCAAAGATCTTTTTCATTAAAACATTTGCATTTTACTGCAGGTTTTTTCTCAAAGCGAACTCTTCGTGGCCATCGTTAGTAAATCCACCTCTGAAAGTTTAGTGAGAGGGCAGGTGAAACCCCTGCCATTTCATTCACTTCTGGAGCCCTAAGGTGTCACACAAGGTCCTCCTGGTGGAACTGTACGGCTGTCAGTAGGCATTTGGTAGAGGGGGTCGGGCGTGCACGCCTCAGGGGCCACTAATCTCATCACTGTTTGACAAATACACATTTTAAACTTTATAATGATTTCAAGTCTCATAGAAAAGGATGGATTATGTTCAATAAAGGATGTATATACTAAGGAAGGACATGTTAAAAATATGTGAGAAAGATGCTTAATGTTAAAATTTAAAGGAATGGACTTCATGGGTTAACCACCAGTTTTCTGAAATTGTATTCACTGAGTATTTACTTCATAGAAGTTTATATTTGTATAGCACTGAGCTCTCTGACAAATTCCAAGTTATCAAATACATTCCCTGTGCCAGATATGAATAAAAACTAGTTCAGGTGACCAGGCCCTAGCTTAAATATAGTTCCTTTGTTAAAGGTGATCCAGGTGAGTGTGGTTAAAGAGCTCAAGAAAAAAAAACCCAAAACGATCCATATTAATGAAATGGGGTGAAATGTCAAAGCACTATTCTTTAGGATAGTGGGCAGGCTATCTGCCCAGTGGCAGGTATATTCTCGGGCGAATAATGTCCCTGAATTATACTTTCTTTGGTTTATTAGCAGTTAGAACATGAAGTTACAATGTGAGCAGAGTCTTGTGGGTCTAGGAAGAAAACATAAATATAGGTAAATTCGTGAAGAAATAGAATTATGCTTAATGATGTGTATGTATACATGCTGAAAGCAAGAATATTACAGTGGAAGTGCTACTCTCATGATTTTCATATATTATGAATGACATCAAATGACTTCTAAGAGAGAACGTTGCAGAAAGGACCATCTTGATAGGTTGTTATCTAGAGACAGGTATGTCATTTGCATTTCCAAGAAATGATTTTGTCGTCTTGTTACTATACTCTGAATAAATTGAAGAAAAATTTTAAAGGAATAAGTGTAGGTCTTTCCAAACAGCTTTTATTAAAACATTTGCATTTTACTTCAAAGTTTTCATTCTTTTCCTCAAAGAGAACTCTCCATGGAAATGTTAGTAAATCCACCTTTCTACTTCAGGAACTTGAAAAACACAATAACTATACGTTATTGTGTTTTTCTAATTGTATTTGTATTCAACACAGTATTGATATAAGTAAAAGAAGAACATTTACATTGCATAATAAGTTACTCAGCACTGCTTTGTGTTTCTGTTAACAAAGCTAATTTATTTCTTCTTAGGGATGATTCAGTTCCAAAGCAAAAATTTGATGTCATTCTAATGAGTCTGCTTTCAATTGTAGAGTACAGCGAAGCCTCAGTAAAGAATAGTAAGACATCTATTTTATTGTAGATAATAAATCTGCAAAGTAAGTTCTCAGCATATATTGAAGTTGGTCTGGCACGGAGTTGCTTTATGAGTAGCCCTTTGAGCAGACTCTGCAGTTCTGTGTGTGGTTTTAAATCACTGTAAATTTGTAGGCAGGTACATATCACAATTGTCTGTTTTTCTTTTTAGGGCTCATGTAATCAAAGAAGTTTCTTTGTTGTGTGTATCTTTTCAGAACACAACAGGAATTGAAAATGAATCAGGTGAGTTTAAAAATAAGAATTTATACAAATACATTACCTAGATGTTAGACCAGTTCTTGATTTTTAAAAGATAGTAACACACACCTTCATTCCTCCCAGATTTTCCTTTCTGTTTCTTAATACCATTCATTAGTTCATCGTTTTCATAGTGTGTGTTTGTTCGTGGAGTGTGCATTGTTTTGGCATGAGTTGGCTTTTCTGTGGAACCCTGAGTAGAGGACTCATTCTTAGGGACCTTAGTTCAGACTTTCTTTTTTTACCTTCCTTGCCACACTCTAGTGTTATTTTTTTGTTTCGAAGCTTATTAAGCTTTCATTTTTAGTACTTTTTATTTTGTAATAACCCATTGGTTGCACAGGGAAAATTGGAAGTTATTTTTAGAGACCAAAACTGAATGGGGAACTTTAAGCTTTCTGTCCTTGAAAAACCCGTTTAGAGGGCTTCCCTGGTGGCACAGTGGTTGAGAGTCCGCCTGCCGATGCAGGGGACACGGGATCGTGCCCTGGTCCAGGAAGATCCCACATGCTGCGGAGCGGCTGGGCCCGTGAGCCATGGCCGCTGAGCCTGCGCGTCTGGAGCCTGTGCTCCGCAACGGGAGAGGCCACAACAGTGAGAGGCCCGTGTACCGCAAAAAAAAACCCCCAAAACAAAACAAAACAAAAACCCGTTTAGAATAAAAACAAGAGGGCAGATATTGAAATGTAAGACGTATTTCTCCTTACAGGAGGGTGTGGGGTTACCTGGAGATTAAACAATTCTGTATTTCTGTAGCCTCAAGGGTGTTCTGATAAGTAGAACCAGTTATATAGATTTTATATGTTCTAAAGTAGGATTCTTATTTTCTGGTCTTAATATCATTTCACTTGCAGTTCTAGAAATGTATGGATGTCAGAAACATTCTCTTTTGAAATCTTTATAAAACTCTTTTTTTAAAAATATGAAGGACAGAACTTAAAAGTGTGTAGTCTGTAATTTTTGGTGTTTAGCTTAAAACTATCAGGCTTGAAAACATTTTGTACTCTGAATCAACTGAAACTTCGGACACCTTTTTTTACCATTTACAGGTGCGTCTAACTGGAGCTCACAACTCCAATTTCATTAAGTGACCAAGTTTAATAAATTCAGTCCTGTGTTGGGGTTGAGAGGTGTGAAGTTTTTGGAATGGATTCTTTTGATTTCTTTTCATTACTTTCTTTATCAAAAATTCGTTGATTTTAATGCAGAGGACTATACATCATAAAAAATGAATCTGGCAAACACATGGGGCACATGGTTGCTATTATTTTAAAGCTTGCAGATTTACTGACATGCTTTTGAAGGCAAATTATTTTTGAAATGGTGAGATGGGGGAGGGAAAAGAGAACAGAATGGATTTTTCATAGTCACTGTCCTTCAAAGTTATGTGCGGATATATGTCGTAGAGTTCACTTATTTTCCTTTTTTAAGATTGAGTCTTAACGCTGACCTGGTCTCCCCATGGAACTTGCTTTCCTCCTGCCTCGGAGCTGTTGCTAGAAGAGTCTCGATTCTGGAATGGAATGATGGTGAATGCTTCCAAAGTGGAATCTAAATACTGACATCGCTTAGGTTACATCACTCTTCAACAGCCACTTACTTCAGGTGGCTAACTGTGCTAAGCTAATAACATTTCATTTCGAATGTATTTAGACCTGTTTGACGCCTCACACTTTCGCTTTAATATTCCATTTGTATCAAAAGGACTTGTGTTTGAAGAAAGTCCGCATGCCATTCAAAAGAGTCGTGGTAATAACCGTTTCTTTTTTTGGCTCTCTTACAATTTGGTTTTGCTCTTGACAAGTTTTAATATCAGATCTACAGAGGACTGCCTTTGATACCAGATGCCAAATATCAGTGGGGAAGTGTCCTCTTATGTTTCTAGTGGCTAGCACATTTTCTGATTTGGGTGTCATTTAAATGCTCTGGTAGCAGTGAAACTTTTATTTGGATTATAAAAATTGTCCGCTTTTTATGAGTAAAATTTTCAGCATCATTAGTTATATTTTTATTATTGGAGGAGTATTAGTCCCATGATATTGAGACCTGATTACTATAGCATGACATACAATCTATGAGTGTTTTTCAGTAATTGTCCCAGTGATTTTTAAAAATTAAGAATTGTTTCAGGACACTTCATGTTTTTCCCTCTTGTATTTATTCTTATTTTCAGCCAGTAAAATTGAGCAGTAAGTGCTTGAAAAGCTTCAAAACAACTACACAAAAATTCAGATATTAAAAAAGTTTTAACTTGAACCAGATTGATTTTTAATTAAAATCTTGATGGTGAGTTTAGGGTTAGATTTTTCTCTCTAGGGACTGATCAGCATTGCTTTGGTGAATTGTAGCTGTCAGATCTGTCTCTTATGATTGGTGTAGTTTCTAAGACAATAGCACAGAATCTTTCATTCATACATGCCTGACAGTTGAGTTTTAGGGACCAAAGGATCCCAGGAGTGAGCATACCATATTGTTTACAAGTGAGTCCTTTAGAAGAAACAGCAGAGTCCAAAGCCTCCTGGCATTTTAAACACTGACTGTTGAAGCAGCAGTTTGAACTGCTGTCTTACCAATGTGTTTCAAGTCGTTCCTGGTGTGGCTAGCCGGGCTCTCCCTCCACTCTCAGCCCTGGGCTCCACAGAGCTCCAGACCCACATGCTTTTTGTCCTTCATTCTCTTTCTGTCTGTTCGCAGCACTTAGCCCCTTCTTACTATCTCTTCTCTTTCTAATTTAGAATCCAGCCTTTGCAGCCACTGTATCTCCTCCCCTCCCTCTCCATTTTCTTTTCTTTCCACTTTCAAATCACAGATATCCTTTACTTGCTTCATTGTCATTCCACACCCGTCCCTATTAACTTGGAGTTGTTCCACTATTCTTCTTATCTTTTCCTAGATTTATCTAGGAGAATCCAGAACTTTATAAATGGCTGTCTCATGGACAGAGAGTTTAGAATGCTTTACTTTATAGAGCATCCAAGGTGAGCAAAGTTCCGTAATGCACATAAGCTCACAGTCCCTTAAAGTAGGTGTTCTGGGGTGTAATGCCACGTGCTGCGTCGTGAGCGCTTAACCGACGCGCCAGGCGCCGCGGTGCGTGTTACAGATATATGCTTTCAACTCAGCCTTTAGCAACCACTCTATGGAGAGTAGGTATCATAACTATTTTATGGATGAAGACATTAAGGCCAGAGGCCTGTGACCACTCAAACAGTAAGTGATAGAGCTCTGAGTCACTCAGACTCAATCTGAATCTGATTCTGATTCAGGCCAGTCAGATTCCAAAGCCCAGGGGTTCTTGGTCACCATGCTATACTGCTGTACCGGTCAGGATAAGCTGTGTTATGCTGCACTTACAGACGGGCAGCTCCAAAATCTCAGGGTCTTACACAGCAACCATTTATTTCTTGTTCTTGCTGCACATCCAGTGTGGATCTGCTATTTTAGTTGCTTAAGAACCAAGGATGGTGGAGGCTTTGTCTCAGTACTTGTTTCTTCTTCTTCTGCTTAACTGGCTAGAGTTACTCCCATGGTTGCATTGAACTTAAAACTCAAGTGGGGAAAGCAGTGCAAACCCATCAGGTGCTTGGGAGGAGAAGAGAACTATAATATTTAGGTACAGCCCCAGTGATTTTTTTTTTTCCTGCTTTATTGAGATATAATTGACATATAGCATTGTGTAAGTTTAAGCCCTAATGGTTTAATACTGCTGTCTTGATTACTAACTTTTAAAGAATCTTTATATAACTCAAATTGTTACTAATATATGAAACTTTCTATCAGTGTAGTAGTTTTATGATTGCAGCATGTCTGTATACTGATCAGTCATCTATGGCAAAGGTCCCCAGCCCCTGGGCGGCAGACCGGAATTGGGCCGCACGGCAGGAGGTGAGTGGTGGGCAAGTGAGCGAAGCTTCATCTGCGGCTCCCCACCGCTCCCCACCACTCCCCACCGCTCCGCATCGCTCCCCACCTCTCCCCATCACTCCCCACCTCTCCCCACCGCTCCCCACCGCTCCGCATCGCTCCCGACTGCTCCCCACCGCTCCCCACTGCTCCCCACTGCTCCCCACCGCTCCCCACCGTTCCCCATTGCTCCCCACTGCTCCCCGTCGCTCCCCATCGCTCACGGTCCCGCCTGAACCACTCTCCCCACCGCCCCCGTGGAAAAAATTGTCTTCCACGAAACTGGTCCCTGGTGCCAAAAAGGTTGGGGACCACTGGTCTGTGGTATTGCCAGTAATCAGTAGCAAAGCAATTTAGTGTTCCAAACTTGTTTTAAAGTTTTACTTACTAAAATAACAGAAGAAGCTTTTAAACACTGATGCTGCAGATCCAACCCTGAGAATTGTGATAAGCCCTCAGAATAATGGAAAGATCCATATTCCATTACTGTAGCTGTTCGGAATGTTCTCTCATCCCCTCATGCGTCCTGCATAGACTGCATCCCAGTGTGTTGTGGATTCTGCCTGCAGGGAACTAGGTAGGCAAGGGCTCAGCTTTGTAACACAGAGTTTTAGAGGGAGACAGTTAAAAAGCAGGATGACAAGCAAGATAATTTCAGACAGTGAAAAGTGCTGTGAAGACAGTGAAATAAGGTAATGTGATAAAGAATGATGGGTGGAGAGGTTCTCTGGATTACATGGTCAGGGAAGGCTGTTCTGAAGAAGTGATTAATAACAGAACAGAGACTCAAGACATAACTAATAACCAGATATATGAAGATCTGGGGAAAGAAATTCTAGGCAGAGTGAACAAACAGTGAGTGCAAAGGCTCTGAGGTGAGAATGAGCTTGCTGGTTCAAGGAACGGAGTGCAGGCCAGGGGCTGGAGTGTGACGAGTATCAGGGACTCTGGACAGGATGAAGTTGGTATGAGGGATGAGGGCCAGATTTATAGGGCCTTTAGGGCCATGAGAAGAAGTTTATCTTTTTTTTTTTTTTTTGAGGTACGCGGGCGTCTCACTGCTGTGGCCTCTCCCGCCGCGG